ATCTAATTTATAATTTGAATGCATGAACTCTGGGAGTTTATACTGTGTAGGCACTTAACTTAGTGGGATCATTTTAAAACACCAACAATAAAAGGTCTATGTCACAACCAACTGAAAGTATTTCCAAAATGCCAACATCTATTACTGTCCAGACACATCACAATACAGTAAGCATTCATCTAATTCAGTCACTAGATTGAGAGTCAAGCATCTTCTCTACAAGATTTCATTTTCTCACATCCATCTCCTCCTTTTCATTCCTACAGCATCGCCCTAGTTCACGACATCACTGTAATGTTCTGGACAACTTGAGTAGCCTCTGTGTAACTCTGAAAATCAAAGAGAAGCTCCAACATCTTATTTTGTCACATTTACCCAGACAGACATGACATGTAATCAAAGAGATAAATACCAATTTAAAACATTCTTAAAGGCAAATATTATCTTCTTATTTGTGGTACTGAAGTCACAAAATTTCACTGAGGCTAGAAATTTGAAGGCTGGTTGCTTTTGAAGGAAGATACAACAAGGATTATCTCTAAATGCCTTCAATGTGCTCACCTGAGCTTGCTTTTTACCTCTCTTACACAACTACCAATTTTCCCTCAATGGTGCTGTCTAAATATGGAACATCAATAAATCACTTTAATCATGTCATATTAAAATCAGAGTATATTGATTTTCACCTATTGATGTTTTGTGAATTGCTATTTTGAACACCCTAATATCTTTTCTTTGAAGTATATTAAACAAACATGGAGTGTAATTAAAGGAAAATTAATTTTACTTTTAATTGGATTAACATCTTTGGCAGTAAATCAAAATATGGTCACATGTCCAACTGATATAATATACCCATTCTTTTTTGGAAGGAAGACTTGAAGCACACAGTTTATAGCATGTGCCTCTCAGGAGTTCAAAAAACATTCTTAGTTTCCCAGAAAAAGTAAAGAATGAAAACATGTCCTTACTTTGCACCTTGCATGGTAATCCTCACCATTACTGCTACATAATGTACTCTGACAGAATAGAAGATGTGGAGAAGTTCAGGGCTGAGAAGATAAATGTTGTGTTAATGTCCCATTAACTTGCGGAAGTGAAAGAAAATGCTCCCTGCTTTACTGCCAAGGGCAGAGCAGAAATGCTGCACCCAGAGTCACAGGGCTTCAAAGGACGCCTCTAGCTAGGTGATTATTCAACTTAGTATTCTGTGCAAATTCTGCCGTGCTTATTCAATTTATTAAATAACACAGATGTTTCAGAAGGAGAAAAAAAGCATCTGACACCTCTTCGGAGGCATGACTAATAGGCCATTATGACAGCAATTAAAGACTAACCACTTGCAGCCTGCAACAAGGAATTGACACTGCTACCCTGCATTTCTTAGGTTTTTTGTTAATTACATAAAATTTAGGTCTCTAATGAATTTCAATTAAACCAAAGTAGGGCATGAAATGGAAGGAAACGCTGGTGAAGAATTATTTGCTCAAAGTGCACACTGGCTGAACACATTATGTTTTATGGCTGAGGTTTAATATTTCCTATTGGACTCTGACTGATTTATCGTAGCTTCTTGGCAGACCTGCAGCCTTCAAAATCATTTTCATATCAGTGTGTCCAACCAAAGTGGTAGAAAGTAACAAAAAATGTCTGGCATCCTTAATTAAATTTGAAGAATAACAGGATATTCATCTCAGGTAATTAATGCTGTGCCCACCTATTACTTTCAAATTTAATTTTAATTTCTTGAGAATAGGGGTGGTGTTTTAGTGTTCTCAGCTCAGATATGAGAACAGAACCTGGGACAAAGCAGCCAATCAAAGAATGTTTCATAGATAAGAAATAAGTAAATAGGTAAGTAAATAAATAAGTGGATTTGAAATTTGGGGGGGAATGATGGCTGAAACAATCCAGCCCTATACTATTTTCGAATTAGGAAAATGTTTAAAAAGAAGAGATGTATTACTACTTGCTCTCAAGTTCAGAGACGTAATAGTCTCACAATACTTCTTATTACATCTATACATTTAGATGCAACGTATGATAACACATTGCAGAACTATTTAGATTTTCTAAAATTTTGCTCTTTCCTTTACATATTCATCATTAATTAGGGTAAGTCCAGTGAGGAGCTGAGGCCTTATCTATGAGTTTTCTTTATTAGATCTAATGTTTTTCAAATATGTGTTAACTAGAGTAATTTGATAATTTATTTTTATTAAATAATAGGGGTACTTTGCAATAACATCTTCAAATGATCACCAAATACTACCCTTCATACAACATGAAAGCTGCATAAGGAAATTTGAAGGTGGGCAGGAAGAAACACTGTGTAAAATCTGTGTGTAAATGGAGAAATCTTCTGGTTTGTTGAAAATGGAAGCTTCTGTTGACTAGTAAGACCCCACTGATATGCAAGTATAGAAATGATGGAATACTACTTTAGAAATCTCAAACCGTGCCTTATGAACAGTTTTCTTTAGGAGTAAGGAAGGCTTGAACCAGAGGTCACTGTACATACTTCTTGGTATAAAAGAGCAATGAAGAAAAATTCAGTCTTACTCATTTTGAGTTAGAGCTGGTAGTACTGCAAGTAACAAATGTGGTTCAAAGATAAATTGAAAAAAGTCAAAATGTGAAAAACTGAAGGAACTCAACAACAATAGCTACTGCATGGAACAAATGGATCTAAGGTTTAATATTCTTATGACTCATTCTCAGATCTTGAACATGATAAATGGTATGTAAAAGGGCTTAGATACTCAAAGACTGTAAGATATTATAAGGGTTTTTCACGATTTATGTAGAACATTGTCTTTGTTTAATACAGTCTCAGGCTGCTTCTATGTCTTCTAATGTCTGCTAGACATTATCTAGAAGGCAATGTGTAGATGTAAGAAAAAACAGATAAATACAGATATGTAGGTATACACTTACAATACATATAGAATGAAGCAAGCACTTAGAAAAACATATAACATGTTTCAGGAGAGTATTTACTAATAGCGAACATTTAAGTGAGAATTCTTAGTTCATACAGAATTAAAGTCTTTGAATATTTTTCATTAATATGCAAAATTCTACAGTGAGACTAGGATGATATTATTCACTACTGACATTAAGTGTGGTTTAATATAATATTTCAAAATCCAGAATATTTCTGAATTTGTCACTTTTTGGTTATTGTTTACTTAGTAAAGTACTCCTTCGATATTACTCTCATTTAGCTTCTTTTGAAATGCTGCCTAAACACTGTTTTCAGTGCTTAAGAATTTATGCATTTCCTCATTTTCTAAAAGTAAAATTGAGAAGTATTTCAGAGTACAAAAGGGAAATAATGGATGTTTATAATTTATAAATATTATTGAACACAGCCTCATATGAAGCTATTAGATGAATATGAAAAATCATGGTGTGAATCAAGAACTAATTAGCCACTTGCCAGCGGGACTATTACCACTTGGAGAATGCACACTAATACAAAGAAAAGTTGTGGTGATGCAAACAGCCACATAATGATAACGTAACAATGACAACTGGACAAGAATCCCATGGCTTTCATGCACAATGGACGTATTACAAACTGCTCACAGACTTCTCAAATGAAATGCATACTACTGGCCCTGAATTTCTTTTTTTCAAAAAACCGATAAGCATTCATTAAAAAAGTATACAGAAAGTAAAGCAAACAGAATTTATCTTGTTTTACATTCAGCCAATCTCACTTTAGACTACAAGATAAACAACTATTTTGTGAAATATTTTATAGAATAAACTTTACTAATCGAAGACTTCTGCCAAACTACTAGGAGTGTCTGACTCTTAACCCACTTATGCTCCAAATATCAAGCACCGTACAAAGATGAGAAGTTTTGCAACATGTCTGAATGTCTGTGCTTCAAATCTGTAGCTTCAAGAAAATGACTGAAAGCTGCAGGTCCTGTACTGAGGCAGAGGGTATAATTCTATGTGACAGCATAAAATTCTGACTTTCAGGAGAAAGCCAAGTTTTAGCTTCTTTACACCCATGAGAACCACACCATCCCACTGAAGGCGTGAGTCAATCCTCAAAGTTTGTCCTGCAGTCAACAACCTCTCCGCAATATCTTCTGCTGATAGAGTGGAAACACACTTGCAAAAAATTGGTTTTGTCTTCTACCAGCATATCTAAATTTATTTAACACCATTTTTAAAAAGGCACTGCTAAGTTTGCAGGACTATTATTGTTAACATAGCCTAAGAAGCAATCAAGAACCTACAGGCTGAAAATGATTTTTGCTGATGCCAAATCCTTCTTCCTCCAACATCTCCCTGTACTACCAAAAACTCACCCAGTATCATGAAGGGATAAAAGGAAGAAAAAGGATATCAAGAAAAACCAAAGTGTGGCTGGTGTTAGGGTGTAGTGGGTTAAGTCGCCAACTTGCAATGCCGGCAACCCATATGGTACCAGGTCATGTCCCTGCTGCTCCAATTCTGATTCAGCTCTCTGTTAACATGCCTGGGAATACAGTGGAGGGTGGTCTAAGTGTCCGGGCTCCTGCCACCCACATGCAACATGTGGATGAAGCTCCTGGTTTCAGCCTGGCCCAATCCTGTTAGCAAACCAGAGGATGAAAGTTCTCTCATTCTCTTTCCCTCTCTCTCTGCAACTCTGGCACACAAATAAAGGAATAAATTTTTTAAAAATGGATTTAAAGAAAAACTAAAGTGAAATAGAAATTAAAAGTGTATTCATGTAGAGCAGGGACACTTAAACAATTTGACTCAGGTGGCAAAGATGTCTAAGGGTTGATTAAAATTAAGTTATATATGAAAAAGAAATCAAAGATAAAACATAGCAAATAAACTAAAGAATTTCAAATATGAGATTTTAAAAGAATAATTTAAAGTAAAGCAGTTATCAATATTACTTTTGTAACCATTAGAATAAAAAAAGAGAAATACTAATAGGGAGTATAAGGAAGACAGCCAAGTTGCTAATTACGCCTTGATTATACCTGCCATGCCGTAAGACAAGAGGTACACATCAAATGCCCACAAGGCTCAATCTTGACATCTTTGTCATTCTCTGCACAAATTTTACAGAGCTGAAAAGTGGAACCCATTTCACAATATAATTCATATTGTTCCTGTAATTTAAAACAAAAAGAGGCAATGTTAGCATATTTTTTAGCATGAACAGTTAATACTGAATTATTTAAAATACAATGTCTTACAGTAAATCTCACACATGATCTTGTCAGAATTATGCTACCATTTAAGACCTGTTCTAACTAGATAATCATGATTTGGTCTACAGAATTCATTTTTAAAAGGTTTGAGCAAGGACCAGTGCTGTGGCGTAGCGACGGGTAAAGCTGCCGCCTACAGTCCGGCATACCACATGGGTATCAGTTCAAGTCTGGGCTGACCTCCTTCCAATCCAGCTCCCTACGAATTGCCTGGGAAAGCAGCAGAAGATGGTACAAAAGTGCCCTCGTGGAAGACCCAGAAGAAGGTCTTGGCTTCTGGCTTCGGACTGGCACAGCTCTGACCATTGCGATCAACTGGGGAGTGAACCAGTGGTTGGAGAGACCTCTCTTTGTCTCTGTCTCCTTCTGCCTCTCGTTCTCTCCCTGTGTAACTCTCACTTTCAAATAAATAAATATTTTTAAAAAATGGTTTTAGCACTTAGGAGAAATTTTAGAAGCTTTAATATGGCCACTTAATGTTTTGTACTATTCCTCTTGGAAAGGACTTGCTTCAACAGTCAGCATAATCCAAAAGACAAACTCCACTGTTTTAACATAGTAATATAAATGATCTTTCCTTTTCCAAAATGCTGCATGCTCATCTAAACTGCCAATCGGAAAAAAAAAATTAATTCTGGCCAAACTCTAAATTTTGTTTCAAAGGTATCTTTAGAAATTCCAAAATAAAAGAAAGCAACATGTGTGGCCAGCGCTGTAGTATAGTATATGCAGGCATCCCATATTGGCACTGGATTGAGTCCTGGCTGCTCTACTTCCAATCCAGATCCCTGCTAACGGCTTTGGAATGCAGTGGAAGATGGCCCAGGTTCTTGGGCCTCTACACCCATGTGGGAGACCCAGAAGAAGCTCCTGGCTCCTGGCTTCAGATAGGCCCAGCTCTGGCAGTTGCAGCCAGCTGGGGAGTGAACCAGTGGATGGAAGACCTTTCTCTGTTGCTCTCCCTCTCTCAATCTATAGCTCTGCCTCTCGAATAAATAAATAAATCTTTAAAAAAAGCAATATTTGCAGGATCATCCCAACATGGCTTACACTATGGCCACTTAATACTTCACATCATCTCCAATGCACAAGAAACATTTAATTTAATAAAATAATCAGAGGTTCAATAAGTTTAAATTTTTTTCCTCAAATTCCAAATTAAGCATATGAGCTTAGAGTACATATTCTTTTCCTAACACTGTCAGTAAAAATAAATACAACAACCCAAACTTGTTTCTTTAAACTTCTATTTTCATGAAGTGCTGGGATTTTAAACTAAGAGCACTGGGCAGAGTAAAATTCTCAGTGCTCAAAGACTGAAAAGATCTATGTCACAAAGAAGATACTCACAAATAGGGTGGTGAATACAAAAGGAATATGAAGACTTTTTAAAAGAGAAACACAAAGAAAAGGAATTATGCAATAAAAATGTTGATAAAGTAATGCTTTTAGTCTAGTAAGTGCCTCTGTTGTACATGATCCTGAGTAGGTTAAATAAGTGACAATATTTAGTCTACAAAATATATTTAGTCTACTAAATATAATAAAGTCTTGGTAAAATATACATATAGAGAGACATACATATACATGTTCACACATGCATATAGATAATACCTACTCTGTCATTATATCTGTTTATGTGAATACTAATTTTTAGGGAAATTAAGGAAAAGACAAGAATGGATCAAGATGGAAAAGAAACAAATTCAAAATCAGTTATAAGTTACTGACATCCTTCAAACATGTAAGTACTGTGACTAGTTATGACTATCTGAAGACCAAATCTGCAATTATAAAATACTCCAATAAGCTACATCACAGATGCAGAACACAACACAACCTAAACTGCAAATATACCAAGAGTAACTTAAGGGAATGATAAATTACTCCTGAAGATTTATTTTTAAATAATGGCTTTCTAAATAAAAGGAAGCATCTCTCATGAAGGTCATAATATGTCTACCAGAAAATTCATTATCACTCCAGGACTGAGAAGAATTACAATCATATACTGAAGATTCATATACTGAAATATAAATTTCTATAGTGTTTCACATAAAAACACCACAACCACTAGGACTCAAATCTGGAGAATTACTAATAAAGTAAACCATCATTCACTGTATTCCCAAAACTACACTTTAACTCTGGTTTGGTTTTTAAAAATATTTTATTATTTATAACACAAAGCATGAACATATCTAAAATATAGTATGTTTTAAAAGTAGACTGGGGTGTTGGTGCCGTGGCTCACTTGGTTAATCCTCTGCCTGCGGTGCCAGCATCCCATATGAGCGCAGGGTTCTAATCCCGGTTGTTCCTCTTCCAGTCCATTTCTGCTGTGGCCTGGGGGGGCAGTGGAGGATGGCCCAAGTGCTTGGGCCCCTATATCCTCATGGGAGACCAATAAGAGGCACCTGGCTCCTGGCCTTGGATCAGTGTAGCGCCAGCCGTAGCAGCCATTTGGGGAGTGAACCAAGGGAAGGAAGACCTTTCTCTCTGTCTCTCTCACTGTCTATAACTCTACCTGTCAAATAAATTAAAAATAAATAAATAAATAAAACTAGACTGTATGTAAAATAAAAATTTGAAGTTTCATTTTTGGTCTTTCCTTCCTTGAATCCCCAGTACTTTTCACTCCCTCAGTCAAGCACTTACTGCTTTGGAACTTTTTGATGTTTTCAAAAGAATATGCATAATGTTCATACCTAGTAATTGCCTGTCTATTTATTTATAAAAACTAAACTTTACAAAGTGAAATGTTACATAATTGAGCTTTATATACATGGAATTATCTTACAGAACAAGATGTGAAAATTCCCATGTGAATACACAGAGCTAACTATTTCCTGCTAATGACTCCATGTAATATAGAATGAGTATTCTATGGTTACCTTAATCTGTTATTGAACTTTGATAAGTCTGTAGTTTTTCACTTGAGAAATCTATAATCAACAGCTATTATTCAGATCATTGTATGTATGTGCACATGATTTATGAAGTTCATGGAACTTTAATGAAAGTTCATGGAACTCAGAACTAAAAGGTTATTTTGGTGCAAAAATTTTTGAAATCCAAGCATATGAGAGGTTTTCAAAGATTTCATGGGAAACACATATTATTAAAAAACACATATGGATTTCAACATTTTTTATGGATTTATTTATTTATTTGAAAGAGTTACAGAGAGAAGAGAGAGAGAGGTCTTCAATCTGCTGGTTCACTCCCCAAATGGCTGCAACAGTCGGAGCTGGGCTGAACCAAAGCCAGTAGCCAGGAGCTTCTGCCAAGTCTCCAACAAGTGTGCAGGGACCCAAGCATTTGGACCATCTCCCACTGCTTTTACAGGTCATAGCAGAGAGCTGGATCAGAAGTGGAGTAGCCAGGACTCGAACTGGCACCTATATGGCACTGCAGGTGGCTGCTTTACCAGCTACAACACAGCGCCAGCCATGTATTTCAATATTTTTGTGCAATAATACAAATTTTCTATTCTATGTCAATGAACTTTTTAAGTACCCTCACATATAGATGGATTTTAAAGTCAAAACATCTTTTGACTTTAACTAGTATCACGCTCTAAATCAGTTTTATCAACTTGCATTCTCATAACCTGTAAAGCTATCAAAAGAACACTTAGAAAACCATAAGTATCATCTTCAATATGGCTCAGCTACCATACAACTCTAAAAGCAATGTCACATAATTATTCCAATTGTTTTGTAATTTTCTAAACCATTGCCCTCTGGTCTTATTTTTCTACCAATAGATTTATCTATCAATTGCCTACACACAAATGCTAATATTAGATTGCAAGCAAGTATAATAAAAGCAGAAAATTTTATCCAAAAATAAAGTAATATTTTTAAACAGTCTCAAAATTCCTTAAATATCTTTTATATTAAATACTAGTGCTTGATTTTAAATATAGTAAAAAGAATCTTGTTTATTTATAAGGTTTTACAGATACTTATTTATTACACTTTTCCAGAATTTCTTCTTACCTGTGTAACTTTTATATGATCGTGGGGTGTAGGTTCACATAATCCAGTTAAATCAGGATTATAGCTCCTCCCATCAGGATAAAGATAACTGAATTTAAAGAGAAACTTTATTACCTTAAATATATGTTTTAATTGCACTTAAGGTTACATAATCAGATTTTTTTATACTTAAATAACACTTGGAGGTTTCCCTTTTCTGTAACATGTCAATATATAATCTTTTATTGTTTCTGTAACATTATTAATTTTTAGAATATTTAAAATGCAGAAATAATTTTCATGTAAGAAATACATAACTAATATAAACTCAGTTACTAAGCAACCATTTTCAATAAGAATATATTTCATATATGGCCTTTATATAAATTTAAATTTCACTTTATGTGCGGATTTTTTTCTACTCCCAAATACTTTGGATATATATGTATTTGCGATGATTATTTCTTTCATCTGAAGCACAGGTAATATGAATTAGATCATTTTACACCATACTTAATACCACATGGAGGGAAAACAGAATCAAAGGTCACAATATTCCCACAAGCTACTCAAACACTTCCATGGTGTGCCTGTTCCTCTAATTTCTCATTCTCTTTTCCTAAATCATTTTCCATTCTCCCTAACACATTTGTGCACCCGTGTACATGCACACACATTTTAAAAACTTAGAAAATGTTAGAATTCCATGTTTCACTGACTTCAACAAAGCTGTAACACAAGATATAAAATATGATGTCAGGTTCTGTTATCAGAGGAAACTTAAATCTAAACTAAAACAGTAATAATGCCATCTTCCTGTGTTAAACAGCTTATAGGCTTTATAAAGAAATTCATTAAAATTATAGTTAACAGGGTAGGCACCTGGCACAAAGTTGCTGCTCAGGACAGCCACATCCCATATCAGAAGGCCTGATTCAAGTCCCAGCTTCTCTGCTTATGATCGAGCTTCTTGATAATGCACAACTTGGGAGGCAACAGAAAATGGCTAAGTACTTAGATTGCCATCTTTGCTGCACACGTGGATTGAGTTATTTCTTTTTTTTTTTTTTTAAGATTTTATTTATTTATTTGAAAGGTAGAGTTACAGACAGTGAAAAAGAGAGACACAGAGAGAAAGGTCTTCCATCCACTGGTTCACTCCCCAAATGGCTGCAATGGCTGGAGCTGAGCAGATCTGAAGCCAGGAGCCAGAGCTTCCTCCCAGTCTCCCATGTGGGTGCAGGGGCCCAAGGACTTGGGACATCTCCCACTGCTTTCCCAGGCCATAACAGAGAGCTGGATCGAAGTGCAGCAGCCAGGATTCAAACTGGTGTACATATGTGATGCCGGTGCCACAGGCAGAGAATTAAGCTACTGTGCCACAGTGCCAAGTGGATTGAGTTCTGAGCTCATAGCTCAGGTTGGTGAAGGCATGGTTATTGTGGGCATTTAAGGGATTGAACCAGTGGATGAAAGACAGATCTCTCTTTCAATCTCTCTCTTTTAAATAAAATGAAAATAAATGATTATAAAAATTATAGCTATTGTTTTGTTGAATACCTCTTTGATTAAAAAAGTGGCAGTATTACTGCTGGATTTCATCAATTATTAAACTATAGCAACCTATATTTATATCTTTCTATATTAGATGGCTTGAATAAGAATATAATACTATAATCATGAATATTTTAAAGACAAAACTATATCAAAACTCTTTTGGTAAGTAAATGCTATAGTTTACTAAGGAAAACTAGAAAAATGCACTGAAAGAATGGGCAATTCTTACAGTGGAAGGCGCAGCTTGGTGAGATACAATTTTTTTTAAGATTTAGGAAAAAGTATATTTTATACTTGAATATGAAACATATTTGGAGTGTCATACGGGTGTGGGTGAAGGCTGATAAAATTCTACACATTAAATGAAGAAGGGCAAGCAAAGCCAGGCAGTAACTTTCTTTCTTTTTTTTTTTTTTTTCCACAGGCAGAGTGGACAGTGAGAGAGAGAGACAGAGAGAAAGGTCTTCCTTTTGCCGTTGAGTAACTTTCTTTTCATACTCTAAAATGGCCAATTAAAAAATGTTCACGTCACATTTTATCATGTCAAGAAATCTCAAAATCCTAGGAAAATTTCAGAAAGGATAGCAGAGGAGCTAGAGAAAAGGATCACTGGTTCTATGTAGCCAAGTTGAGGGACTATTTCATAATTTCTCTTCTTGGTACACTCAAGGTACTGTTGCAGACCATCCCTTTTTAATAGGAAAGAAGGGGCAAAGAATCTTAGTTGGTTATTAAAATAGACTTTTCTATCATCTATGTCATATGATGTTGGTTTAGCTGTAAGGAAAATAAATTGACCCTAACAACTGCAGCACTAAATGATACCCTCTGTTTTTACTTATCCTAAAAATCACCCTCTCAAATTAATGCAATAAAACAATTTTCATTCTTATCTATGGTTTTATTTTCCAACAAAATTACCAAGGCACTTGGAAGGTACCTGGGGGAGTGTGATGATAACAGTAAATCTGCACAAGAATCCCCAAGCACTGCTCTATTGAAGACAATATGCTACAATTTGTTTCTTCTTGTTTGACTTTTAGCAAGTTCATAGAAGGTGTGAAAACAATGAAAATAAGTTATATCAAAAACACTCCATCTACAGATTTGCTCACTCATATAATCTATTTAAAGATTAAAACTTATATAAGCACAGGTTATATATGAAAAAAAAAAAACTCAATCATGGTGAACATAAAGCTCAATCAAGGTGAACATATATGCATGAATCTCTCATTTCCCAGCTTATGGATAAATGACAATAAATAGTAAATTAATGAAAAATAAAGGAACAAAAGACAACTACATATTTGATACCACAACTTGCTACATTAGCTAACTTCTTAAAAGCTTGTGATTTTTAAAAAATATATTTATTTTTATTTCTTTGAAAGGCACAGTTATGTCCACCAGTTCACTCTTCAAATGGCCACAATAGCTAGGGCTAGGCTAGATCAAAGCCAGGAGCCAAGAGCTTCTTCCAGGACTCCCATACAGGAGCAGAGGTCCAAAGACTTGGGCTATCTTCTATTGCTTTCCCAGGCACGTTAGCAGGGAGCTGGATAAGAAGTGGAGCAGCCAGGATTCAAACTAGCACCCATATGGGATGCTGGCCTCACAGGCAGCAGCTTTACCTGTTACACCTCAGAGCCAACTCCAATGCTTACGACTTTAAAAACACATTCTTTTTCTTTGTGTAGGATCTTGAACAGATCCTACCAATTTTTCACCTTTTTTTATATTCTTCTGTAATTACAATGTAAAACATTAAACTGAAATCATTTGCTTTTGCTAACTCAGTGGACTTCTATGGCTTAGTTTTATAGCGCAATCCATAATGCAGCAAGTCAGATCCCTGGTACTCTAAGTGGGTAAGCAAAGCAAATGGCCAGAGAAGGCAGCATTATGAATTGACATTGAGTACAAGAAAAGGAAGCAGAGAATGACATTACAGAATGTGTAAGAACCTCATGTATTGATCAGGAAGGTGTTTAAGAGATCGTCCAAATCTTGTGTGCAAGTGAGATGGGGGAGTCATTATTAATCTAAACACAAAGGAGAAGAATTACCCAAGTTTTTATAGAGGACAGAGAAACTACACTTAGTTATTGACAAGGCATTCTGTAACATGGATTCATTATTTTTGTAAATAAATGAAGGGTATAAAGAGAGAAAAGACAGGAATGAAACGGAGAAAGAAAAGCATTCCAGTTAAAAAGTCAAAGCAGCACTCTGAGGGTTACATGAAGCACCAGAAATCAATGATTCCCCAAAATTTAATATATAAACAACTTTACATTACACCTATATATCTATAACCTTCTTTTCCTATGAAAAATAAAATAACTCATGCTGTAATTTGATGTTGGAATGTATCAGCTGTCACATAATTAGATTTAAATAATTAGGTTATTTTAAAATGACTACTTAAAGCAATGAAAAATAACAACTGAGCATCCATTTCTTGGTCTTGAGATAAAGAGCAAACAGCCAGATCATCAGCAGTTCTATCCATTCTCTCTAATGCAAAGCGGTCTATTTTTTACAGTTATGAATCACAAGCACCCTCACTTCCACTTCTCATACTTACAATCCTTCCCTGCTGCCATCAATCAGGGCTTGAAATAAGGGCTTATTATGAGGTATTGTCTGTAAGATATTGCCATCCCCAGTCACATAGCCAATGGCCCACTGTCCCAATCGCGTGCAGCTTAACCGGAAAATATAGCTACAAAATAGGAGAAAATTATGCTTATTCATATTCAAAATGCAAGTCAACTCCTAAACAATTTTTTTAGCTTTAGCTGTTTTAAGGAAAATATTAAAGATGATCTTTTATAATTCCTTATATAAATTTTTATCAATTATTTTATCAAACAACACTGTACCTCTCCCATTTATTATCAATCTGTGGAAGAAACACTGATAATCTTTCCATTTAAAAATCTCTACCGATCTGTGAGAGAAATAAATTAAGTAGTAAACTTTCAAGAGATTTGTAACCATCGCCATCAGGGATGCTGAGAATGAACATGTTGGTGGCATAAAAAGCCCATGACATAAGTCATTCCGTGGGAAGTATCATTATGTGTTCAAAATTGCGTATCTCAAACCTGTTCTCTTTATATTAAAATGTAGATATTGGAAATAATCTTAAAATTTTTAAAAAATTAAAAATAAGTACACATTTATCTACTTCAGATAGAAGCTGAACCAGTTTCTATTGTAGAATTCAATATATCACTTCACAATTGAAACAAAATTATGCAATTTATTTGTGAAATCACTTTGTTTAAAAATACCTTTTGTCTCAAGAATTTCAATCATTCATCTTAAATTTTAAAAAAACTCAAAAGAGCCGAACTATATTAATTAAAAAGCAAGACAGATGAGTTCATGGTTGTTATCTAATCCTACCAAGTTCAGTATCTTAGATGCAACAGGAAGTCAAAATAGTACAACATACAAATCAAATAAAAGACAAGTTCCTAAAAATCTATCCCCAGGGAGAGGAGACTATGACTTGGCTTTAAATTCATCACTATCATATATTTATTCATTTAGTTATTTATCTGCTTATTTCTGTTTAGATTATTTCTCTAATTATACCTAGTCTTGCCCACATGATATTCATGTCTGATTTTACAACCCATTAATCAAAGCAAGTCAACTGAAATCTCTTGGCTATATTTGAGCTGCTATACGTATGTGGCAGAATTAAATATTTCTGTTCAATATACTTTAGTTACTAACAAACCAAACACTGTGAAGGAAATGTCAAAAGATATCATTTAGCATAGTTAATGACTATGAAGTCACTGGATTTAATTAGCTTATTTAGTACTCTAAAATGATTTTGTATTTAAAGAAAATTAGGTCTTTAAAGAAAAGATTTCAGGCTTTATGTTTCAGAACTTCATATTGGGGATAGAACTTTGCTGAAAGACATTTTCCAGGTAGTCTAAGAACACTTTCCTTTAGATTACATAAAAATAGGACACTAACTTGTCAAAAACTGGCATCCTCACTCAGATGATCAGATAAAATAGTTTCACACAAACTAATGGCTGTGATGCTATGGGAAGATCCAAAAATATACAAAGTCACCATAAATTATAATTTGGAAGATCATTATTAAGCTATTAAAAATTAATATAATTCCTTCAAATGAAGAGTCAAATGTCAAAATACTACACAGCTGTGTGTATCATAGATGTCAGAACTTGCAGAGAATGCTATGAAAATGAAGAAAATAATTACAAGTAGCATTTTAGTAAGTTTAAAAGTAATTCCAAATTTATTAATATATTAAGAATCTCATATAATACTTTAAATCATACTTGTGAAATTGCTGTGTTAAATTAATATCCTTTTCTGTTGTCCTAAACATTGTGTTAGGGTGATGTTTCTGAAACTGATTATATCAAAAAAGGTTTAAAAGGTTTATACAGAGAAGACATTAGTACTAACAGTATAAGAGCCACCATATGGCTTTTTAGAACAACTTCTTCCTCTCTTCTACTGCTTTCCTTTGTCATTATATTTGCACAACATTTTTACATGATTATGTTGCTGACACTTTTGCTGGTAGCTACCCCTACCCAACCTTATGAGTAAATTGTTGTTTTATTTTTAGCACTTTTTTCCTCTTAAATGGCATACTTAATATAAACAAATAGATTTATTTCATGTTGAGTGGGTGGTTTAGAGTTCAAGGCCAACCATTAACACTAAGAGCCAGACAGTGTACATTTCATCTAGATTTTCAAATGTAACTTCACTAGGTAACTAATGTTTTATTAGTTGGAACCCAAAGAATTCACAAGCTAAAGAACTCAAATGTCCATGGAATAGACACAACTATTTTCTTCACAGTAAAGTCAAGGAGGTGGAACAGTTTCTGAGAAAAGATCAGTTAAAAACAGATATCCTACAAACTAAATGGATACCAAAATGATTTGTTCATTGTAATACTTTTCTTCCCAACACATTTTAAATATACACATCACACTTTACACATAACATACTACAGTCTATTTATTTCATTTTTTAACTATGGGGCAATATCCTTTAATGAAACAAAATGATTCACCTAAGCGACTGTCAACGCACAAATTATCTGACCTGCTCTCAAGGTCCCAATGAAAATTAACTCTGAAGATGTCAACAGGAGCTAATTTTTTGTACTTCTTGGTATATACCATTTAAATTCTTAAAAAGGAAAAAATGTGGAAATGTTCATTATGGCAGAGATGAAAGGAATCAAAACTACTAGCTTATACAAACACCATATGTGCTACAAATCGAATAAAAATGATGCTTAAAAAAAGGAAGACTTAAAAACAATTCATCCCAGGGCGGGCGCCGCGGCTCACTAGGCTAATCCTCCGCCTAGCGGCGCCGGCACACCGGGTTCTAGTCCCGGTCGGGGCGCCGGATTCTGTCCCGGTTGCCCTTCTTCCAGGCCAGCCCTCTGCTGTGGCCAGGGAGTGCAGTGGAGGATGGCCCAGGTGCTTGGGCCCTGCACCCCATGGGAGACCAGGAAAACCACCTGGCTCCTGGCTCCTGCCATCGGATCAGCGCGGTGCGCCGGCCGCAGCGCGCCGGCCGCGGCGGCCATTGGAGGGTGAACCAACGGCAAAGGAAGACCTTTCTCTCTGTCTCTCTCTCTCACTGTCCACTCTGCCTGTCAAAAATAAAAAATAAAAAAAAAAATAAAAAAAAATTCATCCCTAAAGTGAAATGATTTCTATTTTGAAGTCAGTATACTTATGGCCATTGTAATTATATCTCCTCATAGAATGTGAGGAATCTGCAAACAAGTTTCTAGCCTTCCTGTTGCTGTACACAGTACTCTGCTGCCGCTGTAAAGGCATAGCAGCACAAATGTCTACAAATGGGTCTAATACAGTTCTAAATGGAATATATGGGAAATGCTCTGAACCAGGTTCCAGACAGATCTTCTGATCCCAGATCTGCCATTACAAATGTATGATGCCTGTCCAAAAGCAGAGGGGCTGACCATCAACCTTTGTGAGTAACTCAGCTTTTTTTCTGAAAAAAAAAAATAAATAAATAAATAAAACAGATTTGGAGTCTGCAAAGATATTTTCAAGGCCCCAGAACTGGTATAGATTCTAACAATGGGCTGATATATATTTATGTACTTATATGCACATATCATATACTTATATGAATATGTATATGCATTAACAGGAATAAATATTTTCTTACATGTATTTATCATAAATTTTAACTGAACACCTCAAAACATCCTAAATAATAAACATAAAAACTGATCTACTTATTTTATCTGGAGCACTATATACAAGCATTCAAATATCCATATGTAATTTTGTACACAAATGTATGTATCACAGAAACTGTCAATATGTCCAAATCCTTCTCTGACTTAAAGAGCAAAACTCTGAGGATTAATGAATCTATTAAATTTATCAAATTGCATAGTAGCACATCCATTTTCACATTATAAACACAAAGTTTCAGCAGCACACTGAATCAATTTAAAGTGTTCAATAAAAAAGCACTCTTTCTGGATTTTCCAGATACCCAATCAGTAACACCAATGAGCATTACTGATTTACTTAGGAATGAACCATAGAGGAGTTTATCTTTATATACAGCACATAATATCATTGCTAAAATGTCTTACCTTCCAGGTTTGGTGCTGTATTTTTGTAGTCGTGCTTTAACTTCATCATACGTGAGAAATGCCATGTAACCCGGATGTGTGACAGCTAAGAAATTCCAATTCCGTAAAATAGAGCCCCATGGCTAAAAATATAAATTTTAGAAGATATTATCTAGAAAACATCAGCTGTCAATTACATGCCAACCCATCATTTAACCACTTAGTGAAACTCTCCAGGATATTTTTAAAGTTAATATGAGCTTATATGGTTTATGTGAACCTTGGGAATCTAAGAAGAAAAATGCAACAGCTTATTCTTTGTTAAAGAAATGTGATTAGGAAGTGCTATGGTTTGTCCCCACTGAAACTCAGGTTGAGGCTTAATTTTTTAATACAGCAGTACTGGGAGTGAGGGAAAGGTAGTTGGTGTTTGGGTCATGGAGTGGGGCCCTTGTGAACACCTGCCCCAGAAGTGAGTGGGTTCTCTTTCAGAGGCAGGCTAGCTGCTGCCACAGGTGGCTGTTACAACGCCAGTTACCCCTCCTGTTTTGTTGCTTGGCATGTGTCTGCTTTGCCCTTCTTCTTTCCACGAGAACAGTACAAGGGTCTCATGAAAAGCTGAATAGATGCCCAGACTATGCTCCTGGACATCCTAGCAAAAATAGTCCTCTTTTAAAAATAAATTATCCAGGTTCACGTTTTCTACTAGAGCAATGGGAAATGGACTAAGACGCACAGAAAACAAATTCCTTAAAAATAGAGAAGAGGCAGCAAAAAGGAAAACCACACAATCTCTTCTGTACAGATTCTATTCTCAATATAGCACTTATGATCCTTTTGACACATAAATCACACAGCTCTTATGCTCAAATATCTTCTGTTTTTAAATGGAAGTCAGTTTTTATAAGGACAAGGTCTTGATCACTTGGCCTAGTAGGGTCTGCCCCACTTCTCTTTCAGTCCCCATCTTCTAGCCGCTCCCACTTTGTACATCTTCTACAGCCTTGCAGGCCTCTTTGCTATTGGCTGGAATACAGAAGCTCCCATCCACTTCTGCACCTTTGTACTTGCTGAGAACTTTATCTCAATTTCCTTCCCTAAATACCCATGTGACTCCTCTCTCTAAGTGACACTCCTTCAATGAGACCTTCTCAAACCAGACTATCTAAAACTGTTACCTGTTGTCATATTCCTTATCTCCACATATATCTACTGTGTTAGTACTGCCTCTCCAGGTGTCTCACCGAATACACTAAAAAAAAACATAAAGAATTTAGGTGTTTTGGCAAAGGCTATACATTAGACCAGAGCTACCTAAAGGCAAGGATGTGCCTGTTTTGCTCAATCCCTTGCAACACAAAGACCTAGTCACATAGTCTGATCCACAGTAATGCAGAAAGAACTGTGTTTGATCAGTTCCTCCAAATAGTGACTTGTCTGAAGGCCGGTGTTTCTGCCATGGTAACAAGCTATTATATTCACATATGGTTTATCCTTACACGATCATAAAATTAGGAAAAGTTTATTTAGGATTTAAACATAAGTTACATAAGAAACCTTTCAAAAATATCGGGATTGCATCAAAATATCAATCTCACTTATCTAATCTGTTGTCCCTTCAGTTACTATGGCAGGAGAAAAAGGCCATCAATGACAGAAAAATGAGCTTGAGGGTGTGAATGAGTATCTGCAGTATTTTTCAGTTGGAAGCTACATTTGTTCCAAGGAATTGGCAGCACACTCTGTCTATTGTGCCAGATTCTAAACTCCTATCTTGTATGTGAAAGAGAAAAAAAAAAAAAAGGTATTTTATGTTGTCAAGTTCAAGGTGTTGAAATAGTCTTCCTAGCCACAATTATTGGTAGAGAGTTCCTGCTTTTGTTTGCTTTGAGACTTGTTCCTCATAATTGTTAAGCAACTTTCAAATTTACAAGGCGAAATTCTTCAAGAGTTACATCCCTTGAGACAAAGATAACAAAGGAAAGAACGATTTAGTAATAAAGATGGTTGTTGTTGCTGGTTTACCTACTTATTTATTTATTTATTTATTTTGGCTTTTTTGACATTAAGAAAAAAATCTTCTGGGTATTTCCCCATCATACTAAAATACGTAATCGTAATTTTTAAAGGAAATCTGGAGAATGCTAACATGAGAGGTTCTGTTTATATAATTGAAAAAAATGTTTTTAATTTTCTTCTTAAGGCATGACTAAATATTGCATAAAACAATACTTGGAAACATATGTTAAAAAAAACAGAAATAATTGTTCATCTAGACACTGGGTTTTGTTTTTTGTTTTGCTTCTTGACTTAAAAAGAATAAGGATGGAAAGAATATAAAACAAATATTTCAGTCATTTCCACACAAATTAATTGAAGGGTTGTTGAACAATACTGAACTTTATAAAGAGTCAATTCACAGATTAAAATACGAGTAAAAAAAAAATGAAACTGGAGTTTAAAGTCAACTGCTGCAGTATTAAGCAACCACTGGTTAGTACATAATCCAGAAGGCTAGCTCCTAATTGCAAAAATATTTATGTAATAGAATGAGTCTGTGTACTACTTTTCTTGTTAATGCAACCCACTCAGAACAGTCAGAAACATGTGGTACTTTTGCATTTTGTTTTTCTTTTTAAAGTATCTTGCAAACTAATGGCTAAAAGAACACAAAACAAAATGCTTTGGAGAATAGGAACTATATTCAGAATTTGTTTCTTAATGGAATTATTTTCTCCACACATGAACACAAAACTATTTGGAGATATTCAAATGAGTACAGAAATAATGATGTAAATTAAAGAAATGAGTCTCTCCATTCTCTCAAAATTTACTACTTTCAAGAGCCAATTACTGACTTACAACTTAATTTGGAATAAGAGGGCCCTTGGCTTGCTTGCCCAGATATTCTCTATAATATTTAAGTTATACAAGTTTCATGTATTTCATATATATAAATTTAGGAACAAAGTGACACTTCCCCTCTATCCTCCCTCTCACCCACACTCCAACCCCCCCCCCACATTCCTACTTTTAATTTTTACAAAAAACTATTTTCAGCTTACTTAATGATCATTATAGTTAACCCCACACTAAGTAAAAGAGTTCAACAAATAGTATGAAGAAAATGAAAAAAAAAACAGCATAACATTGTTCCTCAATGGAAGACACAAGGGCTGTAAACAATCAACGAATCTCAGAATGTCTATTTCCCTGTAATACATTACATTGTCAGGTATATCTGTTTTCTATAGCTAAGGATTTTCCTCCTCTTCTTTTTTCTCCCTATTCCATCGATGCTATGTATTCCAGAGTCAGTAGGATATTCCCCCTAACAGGTCCTGCATATTCTGCAAACCCTGAAATTTAGTGCCCACTTCTCAACAACCCACTCTTAATAGTGGTTAAAATTTAAGAAAAAAATGGGAGCAGTTGTCAGGGAGAGAGAGAGAGAGAGAGAGAATGGAGAAACAAAATTCCTTGGAGTCCATTCCAGGACTTCAGCACATGCCAATCCTAGCATCTCTCAAGTATCTGGAGAGGAGAAAAAGAGGAGGAGTGAAGAAGAAATGAGGGAAGTAACCATATAACTATAGCAACAGCTTTCTGATGACGCCCTGGCATTTGTTCAAGTTTGACTTGGAAATAAGGAAGAGGGAAAAGAGGAGGAAATCTTTCTTATTCATTCATTTGCTATGCAATTTCAACCTCATCTCTTGGCCACTGACTCCATCTTCGAGCCTTTATGCTAATTTCTCTACCTCTGAACTCAAATCCTGAGAGTGTACTTTACTGTCAGATTCACTCTGCTAAATACCTTACCTCCACCCCAATAATTCAGCACCAGAGGAATTCACTGCCAATTAATCATCAATATTATGCTACAGTAGAATATGTTTATAAAGTTACAGTATTAACTTATACTTTTCATACAGAATATATAAACATATGAATTTTATAAATTTAAGAAAATTATCACTCAATTTGTGAAGTTTTGTAAAAAATGAAAGATTGCCAAGTTCAAATGCAGAACTAATCTCACCATATGTTAAGGCAGATGTATGATCATGGTCCAAGCATCTGAATAATGAGCACAGAAACAAAACAAAGGGAAAAATCTCAAAAAATAGAGAGTTCTTCAACTACTTCTGGAATTTTGTGTTTCTTAAGAGATTGGGCATTCTCTAGCTCATGTAAGGTTTGGTTTACTTTACTTTTCATAGTAATTCTACTTTAAAAGGTGTCTTACATCTCTCACCTCCGTGAACAGAAAGAATGTATAAAATACCTTCTGAGGTTTAAGATTACTTTAGCTGTTTTTAAAGTAAAACAGCTTATAAGAAAATATGTGCCCATATTAAGCAGCAGTTTGGGTAAGCATTTAACCAACATTAAGTCACCCTCACACTTCTAATATATTAACTCTGAGGCATTCTAGCACTTAATACCCATGCTCCCAAGTCATCCTGGCTCCCCACAAAAACACATAATTCCTAGAATGAGCAGTTCGGTTTAATGCATGAAAATTACTTTTGCAGTCTACATTCACCAGCTCTGAAGACGCAAAGCCCTCACTATCAGAATGTCTTCTACCATGATAAACAGAAGAATGTACTGTAAATTTATCAGAAGTCTTTAAGGAAAGGAGAGCTGCAATGATGAAATGATCAGTATCAAGTAATAACTTTTTTTCTAAAACTATCTCAATATCCTTAAAAAACAGACAGCATATATTTACCCAGAGAATAATGACCAAACTACTATAAACTTACAAGAAGCAAAAGCATGCTTCCTGCATTAATTTATCTGTTTTTTATCTTATACATGTGGTAGAACTATGACTTTGAAATTGTAATGAAGTAAAATGTACCCTATGCATGTTGGTGACAGAAGTTAATTTGTCTCCTATTAACGGGTTTTTTACAAATTAAATGCTGTTTTCTTACATAAATGTTGTTTTCTTACATAAGTCAGTCACTCGATCCTTGCTGGCTTGTGCCAAGCAGAGTCATAAATCAGACAAGTAAAATTCACATAGCAGGGAAAACAGAAAACCTGCATTAGACTTCAACATTTATTGAAAGCATGTTTCAAGGAGAATAAATCTTACTTCAGATGAAAATAATAAAAATTCTATCGGAATATAAGTAACCCTGGTTTCTGATCAACTTACCTCACTTGCTATATAATTTGCATTGCCGGAATCACCAGAATAAAAAGACACTTTCATTTTCTAACTACTTGGGTTGAATTCCATGTCAGTGGCACAGGCAAACTTAAAACACAAATTTCAGTTCTCCACGTTCAGTGTTAATTCCATTAAGCCAAGAAAACACCAAAATGACCACATCCATGGAATGTTACCTACTTCTGAGGACTATGTGAATACAATTATAAAGGACTGATGAAAAAACAAAAATGGGCAGGTGGTAAGAACAACAGTTAAGATGCACTCCTCCCAAAGGGCTGACACTGTGGTGTCACACTGTGGTAAAACCATTGCAGGGCCCACATCCCATATGGGCGCCAGTTCGAATCCCAGAAGCTCCATATCTGATCCAGTTCTCTACTAATGTGGAAGATAGCCCACGTGCTTGGGCCCCTGAACTCACATGGGAGGCCCAGAGACTTCTGGCTCCTGGCTTTGGCCTGACTCAGCCCCAACTGCTGCAGCCTCTTGGGAAGTAAACTGACAGATGAGAGATATTCTCATTCTCTCACTCTCTCTCTCCCTCCCTCCCTGGAATCCTGCCTTTCAAATAAATAAATAAACCTTAAAAAAAAAAAGACCCATTCCTTATCAGACTGCCTGGGTTTGAGTTTCAGCACTGCTCCCATTCAGCTTCATGGCAATCAGCACCTTAAGAGGTACCAGGCGATGAACTATTTAGTCCTGCCATCCACGTGGGATATCTGGATGGAGCAAGGGGATCCTAGCTTTGGCCTAGCCAATCCCACCTGTTACGGGTATTTGGGGAATTAATTAGCAGATGAAAGATCTATATATTCTTTTTCTTTTATCTTTTCTCTTCTTCTCTCCATTTATCTTCTTTCAGATAAACAAAACAATGAAGAAATAAAAATTAATACTATAAAACAAAAATAACAGAACAGAAATGTTCACCTCAAAGTTATTTATATTAGCAAAAAGAAAAAAAAATTCAAATTTTCAAAAGCAGAGTTTTGTGAAATTAGTACTGACACAGCTGTATTTTTTTTAAAAGATTCATTTTATTTATCTGTAAGCTAGAGTTACAGAGAGAGGTAGAGTCAGAGAGAGAGAGAGAGAAAGGTCACCGACTGAGCTGGTTCACTCAACAAATGACTGCAACGGCCAGAGCTGAGCTGATCCAAAGCAAGAAGCCAGGAGCTTCCTCCGGGTCCCCCACATGGGTGCAGGGGCCCAAACACGTGGCCCATCTTCTACTGCTTTCCCAGGCCATAGCAGAGAGCTGGATCCGAACTGGGACTTGAACCTGTGCTCATATGGGATGCCAGCACTGCAGGCTGGGGCTTTAACCCACTGCGCCATAGCACAGGCATCCTGACATACAGCTTTAATGGAATATTATACTGGAACCAATAAATGAAAAACTATTTTGCTGAAGAATATTTATTGACATGCAAAAATGTTTATTATATATGGTAGAATGTGCACAAGTAATCTTTAAAATAGTAGGCTCCACAGTATATTCTTATACAAAACAGTTTGAAATTTCTAAGTTTTCTATTTTCCATCTCACAAAATGCAGAATACACAGGGAGAAGGTAGAAGGTGGAATACATCTCTGGCAGTGTATTGTATTTAATTGCATTAAAGGATAAGGATGTATTGTATAAGTTTCTGGGCTAAAAGATCTACAAAGCAAAGTGAGAGACTAAATAAATAGTTGAAATAAGCAATTTAATATTCAGCTCTTTCTATGCAAAACTAACAAGCAACTACAAGGTTTGCAGCACCTGATAGTCCAAATTTATGCCAAAGGACTCACTTTAGACAAATAGCAAAGAGAAAACACTTACCAACAAGAAAATTATATACTACCAAGAATGAGACTACTTTTCATCTGTTTGTACATATGTGTATGTGTATGCAAGAGAGACAGAGAAAACATATCACACACACACACACACACACACACACACACAGGGAGGACTTGAGAAAAGGATGGGCAGAGAGACTAAGAAGTATAAAGCTTACCTGAAATAGCCTGGTGAAAATGTCAAATTCAAAAACTGAAATGTAATCATTGCAAGTTAAATCAATTGTTGATTTTAGAGCCATTGCTTCCAAGCCAGAGCTAATTTGATGGACTTCATGAAGGCACTGTCTGAATACTTTCCACGGTACAATAGTTCTGCACAAAGGGAAGAAAAATGAGTAATTGAATCAAGTGTCATTTAAGACATACCTGCCATGGAAAAGGCACAATTCAATTATAAAATTAATATAATTGTATTTGCATTAAAGGATAAATAGTTGAGGATGTTCATAATTCAGATCATATGCGGTGGACTCTGCTAAGTTGATAATTTTGCATTTGCTAAGAATATGACAAAATTTAAATCAATTTTTCCTCAGTCTTTTTTTTTTTTTTTTTTTTTTTATCAAGATAGCTCTAGAAATACATCACTAAGAAGATGCTATGGTCAAAGTTCTATGTGTCGGCTAGTGCCGCGGCTCACTTGGCTAATCCTCCACCTGCAGCACCAGCACCCCGCGTTCTAGTCCTGGTCGGTGTGCCGGATTCTGTCCCAATTGCTCCGCTTTCAGTCCAGCTCTCTGCAGTGGAGGATGGCCCAAGTGCTTGGACCCTGCACCTGCGTGGGAGACCAGGAGGAGGCACCTGGCTCCTGGCTTCGGATTGGCGCAGTGCGCCGGCCATAGCGACCATTAGGGGAGTGAACCAACAGAGGGAAAACCTTTCTCTTTGTCTCTCTCTCTCTCACTGTCTAACTCTGCCTGTCAAAAAAAAAAAAAAGTTCTATGTGTCACAGCACTTTCATTTTTGTACATTAAGGTTATTTAGCTATGAATCATAATTAAATTCTTCCTCTATTTTCTTAAAATAGTCCTGAGATGATGATGGGTCCACACAATAGCAGGGGACCTTTATTCAATGCACAAAATAATAATGTGTATACAGCATTTTAAGAAAGTTAAGGTCAGAGGTCATAAAAATATTACTCCCATCACCCTGATGTTTTCCACAGAGATCAACAACACACACAATCTAAGCTTTCATATCAGTACACAGAGAAACCTTAGTTTTTAAGATAACTACAAACCGCTACCTCATGCCTTTAGCCAAAATATGTTAATCAACTTTTTTTATTAAATATATGCAAAAACCTTTAATAGTTAATGCAATCACGTGAGTAAAAATCTTAGAAGAGTCTACAATAGTCCAGGGCAAGGTCTCTCCCCTTAACCAGCCCCTGCCTGACCAGTTTCCAACATTCACTCACTCTCCTCTACACTATACAATGAGTAACATCTTAAGCATGTTTTAGCTAACCTTTCTCCATTTAGAACACACAGTAAGAACTGGAAAGGCCTTTGCCTAAAACAGATGAAACCATTATTTTTTAAATTTTTAAAGTGCAGTTCTTAAAATAGAACAGCACAAGAACAATAGTCATTCTCTTAAAAGACAGCAAATACTTAAAGTTTAGGTTTTCCTTTACCAATTTCTCTTGAGAAATATGAGATTCCTGCAGAATGGACTGAATTCTGCTTGGTCACATCCTATGCCAAGCTTCCCAATGAGGCATCACCATTAGGTACAACACTGATATTCATTAACAATCATCTAAAGCAGTGGTTGTCAAACTTTAGCAAACATCTAAGTCATCAGAGGAGACTGTTAACACGGAGACTACTGATACCCAACTGAATATATTCTCATTTGTAGGACTGGCATATGGCCTGAGAATTTACAGTTCTCTCCAAAGTTCCCACGTGATGCTGATGCTGACGATCTAGACACCTTGAGAGTCACTAATCTATTAAACAATAAGTTAAGGCAGTGCTGGGAAATATGACCATGGAAATACAAGATAACCATCTTTGCGCATGAAGAACACAAACATTTGGGGTAGAAATAAAATTTGTAACATTTAAAAATTATGAAGGAGGTGGATATAAGAAGTGTTAGTTGATGGATAGAAAAAAAAGGCCTGGAAGAATCTAGAAAAGGCATCTGGGAAGTGGCAGGAATGAATCATAAGAGTGGCTTGCATGACCAGGCTGTATTTATAAGAAAGTTTAGGTTTAATGTACCATCAAAAGAAGAAAAATATGAGGCTTAATACCTCAGAAGGCTCTTCTCTATGTATGAACAAAACAGGAAACCACAGACAACTAAAGAGAGACACCACATCAGACGCCATTTAGAAGAAACTGACGTCAGGCTCTGATTAGGTTAACAAAATGATGTGTTTTAAAAGAACAAGGAAAATTTTAATAACATTAGAAATCTATTGATTTATAGTAAAATATAAACATACAATTATGTCTTGCTTCATTACATTTACCATGGACATAGTGCCAAAGAAGCATATTTGTCTTTCCCAAAGTAAAGTCTCCACTATTCAACACATAAAAGGGACATGAACCATAATATTCAGAGTGAAAAGAGTTAATCAAAGATCTACTATACCATTGAAAAATGGTATTGATGTTATCTTTGGTCTAGAAAAGCTACAAAACTTTTCTTTTTTTGCTTTGTGTAGAAATTATAAAACATAAATAAATTGGCCAAATATAAATGTCAGGATTTTTTATACAAAGGATAGAAACAAAACCTAGCAAAATAGATACCTTCAATATGTTGCCATAAAAAAACTACTCGGCCGGCGCCGCGGCTCACTAGGCTAATCCTTCACCTAGCGGCGCCGGCACACCGGGTTCTAGTCCCGGTCGGGGCACCGGATTCTGTCCCGGTTGCCCCTCTTCCAGGCCAGCTCTCTGCTGTGGCCAGGGAGTGCAGTGGAGGATGGCCCAGGTGCTTGGGCCCTGCACCCCATGGGAGACCAGGAAAACCACCTGGCTCCTGGCTCCTGCCATCGGATCAGCGCAGTGTGCTGGCCGCAGTGCGCCGGCCGCGGCGGCCATTGGAGGGTGAACCAACGGCAAAGGAAGACCTTTCTCTCTGTCTCTCTCTCTCACTGTCCACTCTGCCTGTAAAAAAAAAAAAAAAACACCTACTCATCTAATATTTAACAAGCATCCAGAATATAACTTCTTTTCCCACAGCAACTTATAGAAATGTGCATACACACTTCTACAATTTTAATCTTACACATTAATTCAGAATAACAATTTACAACCAGGAAAGCATGTCCACAGTACTTAGGTAAATGAAACGATTACAGTTCACTTGTGATAAACTCAACATCCGAACAGGCACTCATGCAATGGAACTAACTCCCTGGAATTAAGAGAAGTAACATGGATAAAGAAGCTAAGGCAGTACTTGGTTAATTTATTGAATGCAAAATTTATGTAATAGATACTACTCCTTTGATCACGTTGCCAAAACACCACCCCCAGCCCGACCCCATGTGTAGGAGGTGTGTATCTAGTGGGCAGGAGTCCTAAGGGAAGGGGGCTCCCTGGGTGAAGTAATAGAAGAAGAAAATAAAGATGCCTTAAAAAAGTAAACAAAAAAAGCATTGTTCAAAAATGACTGCACATGGAGTCTAAACTTTCCAAAGAGAACTGCAAATTGCTACCACGTTCTTTCCTGTGTGGGGAGAATGGGGAGAGAGAGAAGGGATTTTTCACACCCTTAATTAAAGTCCAGCAACCGGACAGCAGTGATTTCTACTTCCTCTTTCCCTCGAGATGAAGTAAGAGGAAACATTAGTGGGAAATTGTTTCACAAACATGTACAAACTCCAGTGTGCGGCCAGAGACCTGGGCAAAGGCAAAGCAAAAGAGAAATGCATGGAACAGAATATAAAAGGGTCTATTAGGTTTCAAGCACTGGGGCTGGCATGGTGGCACAGTAGGTTGATCCTCCGCCTGCTGCGCCGGCATCCCATATGGGCACCGGTTCTAGTCCCAGCTGCTCCTCTTCCCGTCCAGCTCTCTGCTGTGGCCTGGGATAGCAGTGGAGGATGGCCCAGGTCCCTAGGCCCTTGCACCCTCATGGGAGACCAGCAGGAAGTTCCTGGCTCCTGGCTTCGGATCCGCACAGCTCTTGCTGTTGCGGCCATTTGGGGAGTGAACCAACGGAAGGAAGACTTTTCTCTCTGTTTCTCTCACACTGTCTGTAACCCTACCTGTCAAATAAATAAATAAAATCTTAAAAAAAAAAAAAAAAAAACAATTTCAAGCACTCACCAATCCAGAAATATTTTAAGTTGTTTATTTGCAATTTAAATTACAGTCCACATTTACTGCAAGTTCAAGTGATTTTACAATACACTGAAAGGCACAAACAACCGTCAATCCACAAAGAATGAAAAAAAAAAAAAAAGCGATCGGATGGGCACTGTAGCCCAGTGGGTATGGTGTTCCTTCCTATATCTGAGCATCTGGCTCAAGTACTGGCTCCTCTGCTTCCAACACGGCCTCCCGCTAATATAGCAGATGATGGCTCAAGTACTTGGTTTCCTGCCTCCCATATGGGAGACCTGGATGAAGCTCCAGGCTTTGACTTGGACCATAGTAAGCTGTTGTTTGGGCAGAAAGGAAGCAAAGGTTCTCTCTCTCTTATTCTCTCTCTCTTTGCATCTTCACATAAGTAAATTCTTTTTTTAAGTGACAGTTCTCATACCACATCATAAGAGAAAGACATCAGCATACAAAGCTATATTATAATTCTGTTAGTCTGACTATAAAAAAATCAAGAGTAATTATCTTTAAATGGCTTGAAAACCAGAGTACCCTTTCAGAGAAAACAAGATCACACACAGGTAAACAAAGCTTAAAAGGTATCAGCAGGTCAGCAACTAACAAATCATTGGATCAGCCAGGCTTGCCTCATTCTGGGTAAAGTGAAGCAGTACATCAGATACACTGATTTGAAAAATCCTCCAATCTTAAAATAAAATAAAAGATAATTACAGATGGAAACTTTTTCTTGAAACTACTGCTTTATTGGTAATGTAATAGAAAAAAAGAAATATGACACATACCATAGGTGAAAATTTCACAAAAGCTAGGTAGACTGTTTGGAAACAGAAGCTTTCAAATGCATCTGGTTTGAATGAGAACTTACACAGAACTTCTAAAAGGCAACTTGGCAACAAGTTTCAAAGTCTATAGTTTCACCTAAAAGCATACTTCTAGAGAATTTCATGTAAGGAAGTCATTTCCAAATACCAAGCATAGAACAATGCAAAGCTT